AGTTTATTTATTAAGCGCTTTTCACAGATAGGCAGTCACAAAGCGCTGTACACAAATATTAAAATAAACAATACAATTAATAGACATTATACACAATGTAAAAGATCAAATGTAAATAATGTAAAGAATATAAAATACGTAGATCAACAAAAGGCTTGTTTGAACAGAAAAGTTTTTAACTGCTTTTTAAAAGAATCCACAGAGCAACTAAGGTGTGTTGCTTATGAAATTCATGAAGTGCTACAGAGAAAATTACATTTTATTTATGTAATTAACACATTTTGAACTCTTAAAGAAATATAACAAAAGGAAAGCTGAACTAAAATGATGCATGTAGCAAACAAAAATTGTTGTGAGCCGCCACCCTTATATCGCCTTTGGGCTTTTGGAGCCTTGACCTGACTTTTAAAAAGTAATTGGAAAAAAAGCACTATGCTGCTAAAAAAAGAAAAAGATATTTGCAAAATTCTGCCTAAATATGTATTTTACCTGGTTAATGGCCTGGTCTGCATTGCAGGGGAGTCGGACGCACCTGAGCGGCACCCGCAATCACGCCTCGCCGCCTTAAAGTCTGCTCTCTCTGCTGTTGTGTTCTCGGGCTGTGAGCTGAAAAGCTACAGCCGGCTGTATGCGTACAGCAACAAGATGCTGAAAAGCATGTTCATGCAAACATCGTCGGGTCAGCCGTGATATGTTTACAATAAGACTTCTGGTCCCGAACCTCTGGGCACAGCATCTGCAAAACGGGGCTTTCATCTTCACGCAGGACTGTAAGCTGTCATCTGTGAGGCGTGAGCGGTGTTTGTTTTTAACATAGTTCACGGTGGAGAACAGCTGCCGACATAATGTGGATCCAAAGATCCATAATTGGCCTACCTGGGGTCGAAAGTCTCGATAAATGCACAGCGTTTCGGCGGGTACACCGGCTTCCGCGAGTGTGACGCTTATTTTGAGCGATGAAAAAATTATAAGTTTTAATTTTATTTTTATATTTCAAAATTATAATAATCTTCCAATTTAGAACTACAAGTTAAAAAAAGAACTAAACACAAATAAAATACACTTCAGCTAAATACTTCTAAATTTCCCAAACCACCCGGAGCCACAAAATAAAGACTAAAGAGCCGCATGTTGCCGACCCCTGGCCTAGGGGAAGCAGGTAAAATGTAAACAGAACTGGTCCATCCAAAAAAACATCCAAAAAGTTTAACTTTTGTCTCGTCGGTCCAGAGAGTATTTTCAATAATATTTCAATTTGTTTGATGATCTGAAACATGTAAGTGTGACAAATATGCAAACAACTGCAGGTGTAAATGTGACTGCAAATGGTTGGTCTGTCCCTGTGTATTAGCCCTTGTGACAGACTCAGAACCTGTCCAAGGTGCACTCCACGTCTCACCCTAACCTAGCTGGGATAGGCTCCAGCCCTCCGTGACCCAGATAAGGATAAACAAAAGAGAATGGATAGATGGATTCAAACCACTGCAGCACAGTACCTTTGATATCTACAGCGTGCTCTAATTGCTGTAATAAAATATTACAGTCAACAGTATCAAATGCTGCACTGAGGTCTAGTAGAAAAACCACAGAGATGAGTCCACTGTCAGAGACTATAAGATAATCATTTGTAACTTTCACTAAAGCTGTTTCTATACTGTGATGAGCTCTGGATCCCGACTGAAACCCTTCAAATAAATCGTTCCTCTGCAGATGATCAGTTAGCGGTTTTCTAACTACTCATTTAAGAAATTTTGAGGTAAAAGTGTATAGGTCCTTATGTATAACTGTTAGGTTATAATGGGGATAGACTAATAACGGTCTTGTCCTTACAACAAAAACAAACAAATAAACAAACAAACAAAAAAAGTAACTAACTATATTCATGGTTTTCATGGCCATGAAAATGTCGATCACCAGGAGTCAGAAAAAGTCCTGAACTTAAACTTTAATTTAGTGGTGAATGAAATTAATTTGTCCTTAACTGTTTTTGACCCTCCTTGACTTCTAAGTGGATCTAATTTCTCATTAGTTTGTGCAATAAAGGTAACCAATTACAGCATTTATCAATTTCTTCCTGTCCTTCACACATTGCAATAACCTGTGAATTGTGATGGATCGGAACTGAGATGAGCTACATCGCTAACATTATGGTCCAGTTTTTAGTTTTTTAAAAACTGCTTTCTGGAACTGAAGCGAGCATTTTGACAACTTGTTTTTGTTCATAGGAGCATTTATTTGAGCATATATTTAATAAGATAAAACAATCAATCTTCTGTTTCATGACTACTAAAAATTTATACTTAGTCTTGTCGATATTAAATATTTTGTGATGGCAATAATCTTTAAATCCAGGCCTCTGTCTTGTAAAATTCAGCCATCTGTTATATAAAGCCACACTGAAATTATCGGTCTGGCATACAATGTAATAAATAGTTCATTGGAACATTTTGAACATTAGCAGATTATATTTTACATAAATCACCATCTGATATTTAAGTGAACAAAAATAAATTTGCTCACTTCAGCATAACACGAGAGAGAACTACACTGATCATCGTACATTCTCCTTTCGTGCTCTTCTTGGAATAAATTAGCCAAGCTGGCATTTATAAACTCTGCAGGGATAGTGCTTCAGGCAAAATCCCAATTTAGAAAAGATGTCCCCCTTCCATATGTTAGAAAGTGAAAAAGAAATAGTTCTTATTAACTGAGAAGACAATCCTGCATTTTCTTTATTAAAGGGAAGCATCAGAACTTTGCTGCGTTTAACCTTTTAATGGTCCACATAATCAGTATACAGTCATGTGGCTGTGGCTTTATCCCTGTCGTGTTTTGCATGGTGATAATCATGTTCTTTCATTTCAAGCCAAGTATCAAACATAATGATTTTTTTTGTCATTATCATCATATATATAATTTGACAATTATTCATGTGACAGGATCACCTGGAAGTTTTAATTAAGGGGTTTTAAGAAGCTGTTTTTGAAGAATTTGTGGATTTAATGTCAGAGACACGCTACTCCAGTCAATCCTAGACATAAGAAATCCATAAGGCCTTTGAATCACCTAAGTCATGAAATGAAATTATCAAAATTTAATTTCTTTACTATTTTACTGTGGTTAATAATTTGGTTAGAATAAGATCAACCCCAGTTCAGCGGGTATCAGGTTTTTTTTTATATAATTGCATGAGTAGCAGAGGAAGAGGTTTTGCAATCATATTCCCCTCCTTGGTTTCACCATGTAACTGACACAACAAAGGTTCAATGAGAAGTCACAGAGAAATAAAAAATGTTTAATTCTTAAACTTAAAAATGTACCGAATTAGTGCATTTGTATGTTAAGGCGTAATCCCGCAGTTTGATGTGTAAATTTATGCTGAGCTTGTCTCAGAGAGATTGTTAAACAAATTTTACATTGGAGTATCTTACAGTAGTGGGTTTGCCTTTTATAACTACAGAGAAACTAGAACTACTTAAGTCCTATTAGTAATACAGCAGACAGAAAAAGCTGAACAAAACCAATAAATCTGAAGTGTTTAGTATTCACAGTTTTTGATGGGAACTTTCTCCTTTTTTCTGCAGTTTGCTGCACATCTAGTGAAGATGAGTTTTCCACGTGTTTGTATCCTGGACGGAGGGATCAACAAGCTGAAGCCCACCGGGCTCCTGACGGTCCCTTCACCGCAGATCTGAGCCTCTGCCTTAGCTTGACTTTAAAATAAAGGGAAAATGAAAAGATTGTAAATAGTACTTTGAGCTGACACTGAAGTAAAAAAGGAAATCTGTGAACAAGCATTACCATTGCATTTGGACTTTTTTATATAATCTAATTGTTAATTGTTGCAAAATGACTAACTGCATTGAAATGATCTGCTTTTTTTATTCATTTTGGTTTCATGATCATGCTCACAGAGCCATTATGTGGTTATTGTTCTGGCTTATTAAACAAGAATAACTGACTAACAAGGTAATGATCCCATGTAGTAGTGCATTACACAGACTGAAAAAATGTGCTTATAAATGTGCTGGCGCCCTAAACCAGCCTTTATCAAAATGTGCTTTTTTAGAGCAGCTGCTACTGTATGTAGTGTAGTAGTTTACACTAATAATTCAGCTCCCTGTGATCACTGTGTTTGTGTGAGAAACAATAAAAAGACACACACAACAGTTTTGCAGTTACTTATTAATGAATTTTCATCATATTTTTCTACGTTCATTTGACCCGTGCTGTGCAAAAGCCTTGAGCCACCCCTTATTTATTTGTATTTTGCAACCAAACAGCAAGACTTCTAATGTTTTTAAGTGATGAGCAATAGTTCTCTGTGCTTTCTGAAGGTTATTTTAAAGTTTTTTCTTTGGCCATTGGCTGGTTTTTCACTCATTTTCAGTGCAATTCTTGTACCTGATAAATTTCAGAAGAATGTTTTTTGTTTGTTAAGCCATTTAAAACTGAAAAAGGCACCTAACTCAAAGTTTTACAGACAGAAAATAGTATTTAATACCAACAAAGGTATTTTCAAATTAGCAAAACATTTGGCAGATATCAGCATGGTGTGAGGTGTTTCCAAAAGCCCTTCAGGAAACTGGAGGACAAAAACCGAAGTGACTGGCCAAAAAACACACAACAGTTATCAGTGTCTGATTTATCCTGAATAGGATAGACGTCATTATTTGCACAACTTTATCTAGAATTCCATCTCAACACATGATTGATGCAACTGACTGGACACTCCCACTGATTTGTGTGAATAAAAATAAAAATTTTGGGGGCAACTTCTGACAGAGTAGTTTCTCTAACCTAAATTCTTCATCTCAAGGTAAGACATGTTTTCACAGGATTTCAGTCAGAAATTATGGGTCATTTAGCATAATGAGTTAAAATAATTGTTTGCATTGTCCTTTTCACTGTAATGCAATAATTTTAAATGTTTACATTTCCAAATCAGTGCTAAGAATAATTATAATTCTCCCCCTACCAGGATTTGACCACATTCAAGAGGGAAAATGGTGCAGTATAAAGTGACTGTATTCACTGGAAATTGTCTTAATTCCACTACTCTTAACAATGTCTTCATTAAGCTGGTGGGCACAGATGGGGAGAGTGATCGCACGTGGCTCATGGGCTGGAAAGGGGCTTCATCCTTCGTCAGAGGAGCTGTAAGTCTGATATATGCATCTTCATGATTATGTTTTTCAGGTTTTCTATATAAGATGATACACAAATGAAATAATTTTTGTGGAAATAAGGGGAATCTATCACCATGAAGATGGTCAAAGCAAACAGTTCACTTCATGGACCACAATAAATTATAAGAGGAATTGTATGCTGGAGTATTACAGCTCAGCGCAAATTGCTATGTCATTCTTTAGGTATCAAAGTTTAAGGTGTCCTGCTCCACTTCCCTTGGAAAGCTTGTGCTGATAGAGTTAGACAAACAGTCGCTCCCACTGTTCCCAGAGGACGCTTGGTTTTGTGCCAAGGTGGAAGTGAAATCCCCTGAAGGAGACATCTACAGCTTTCCCATCTACCGCTGGATCACCGATAGCAAGGTGCACCGCTTCAGAGATGGAAAAGGTTTGGGAAACTGTGCTCATCTTAAATCTTGTTCAAACCATTGAAGATGTAAAACAAAGTTTGTAATGAGGCTGAAGCAGTTTCCCAATATACCATATTTACAAGAACAACTTGAAACCATTTTTTCTTATTTAGCTCTGAGAGTATTTGAAGACAACCATCATCTTGGCAGGTACAGTCGGCAGCAGGAGATTCATCAGCGAGAGGAAGACTATCGGTGAGAATTCAGAGCTTATACACATTTTAGCTTTACGGCCCCTGAAACTGGAATACAAGTGCTCTCCAGTTATAGCTGAAAATCCTAATACTAAACCTAAAGCTTAAATATATTTAAGCATTAAATTAAGCATTGCAGCATCTTCTTTTTCTGCTGGCATTAATGAAAATAAATTAATCTATTACATATGTTGCAGATAAAAAGTATATCATGTCATACTGTAATTAACTTCCTCGTCACTCTGCTGTTTCTTTGTTTCATCAGCTGGGATGCATATGCAGAGAAAATACCTCACTCCATGAAGGCAGAAAGCCCATTTTCACTCCCGTATGAGGTTCAGTTCTCCTTCACCAAAACTACAGAGTTTGTCTACACTGCTTCCACAGGGTGAAGTTCTGTTATACATATTTTTCTCTTTACTTATCAAAAGTATATTAAGTATCATAATGAAGTAAGATGAATGTGTTTCAGACTGACTGAGCTGAAGCTGAAGGGACTGGATAACTGTAAGAAGAAGTGGGATAATATTGACAGCATCAATCGAGTGTTTTGCTGCAAAAAGACTGAAATATCAGGTGCTGTACTAACATCATAGCATAGTAATGTGTAATTAACTCTTACCCTAAAATTTTCCCTATACCACTATACCAGGTAGATTTTA